ATACTAACTGTTGATTGTTTTGCAGGCGCTACCGCAGCTTGAGAAGTCCAGATACGGCCGCCGATTAGTACATGCGTAAGCTGCAGTCCCTCTGCCTGAGCCTGAGCTGAGAGTTCTAAACATTCGAGCCATAGTCTAAAGTCCTAGCGGTCCTAGCATCCCCCCTTAATAACCTCTATAGTAGTCCCCCATTTTATCCTCTATATAACCACCCCTCTTCAAGACTTTTGGACTACAAGTCATATTGGGTTTGGGGTGTAGGTTTGTTCATGCAAATTAGTTCTATCTCGGCGTAAAAACTACTTATGATTACCCGAGATTGCCTCATAGAAGTGACAGTGCTGCAAAGATATGACCCAGCTGGAAGTACAAAGTCCCATGACCCTCAACCTCAAGCCCTAAGTATCCTTCTTATAGGTCCTGTAGAACCCCCATGAACCTCGAATGCTAAACCCTAAACCCTAAAACCTAAACAAACACCTTGAAGTCGCTTCGATCAAGTCCCGTGAAGCTCTATGAGTCCTCGAGATGTCAAGGTACAGAGATTGGGCCGGCTCTCTTTCGCTGCTGCTCGGGTCAATGTTACAGGCTGTTAGGGATTATATACGGTAGCCCTACGAATCTTGTCTGGTTTCAAGGCTTGGTTTGTTTTGCGTTGTTTGCTTGCCTTTGGGCTTTGTCAATTGGAGTCATCAGCTAAGGTTTGAGATCGACGGCGCCTGAGGCCTGCCAACAAGGGTGCGCGGTGTATAGGCTGTAGGCCAGCAATATAGAAGCACACGAGCTGTGTTTCCAGAAACTTGCGCATGTTTGCACGCCATATATCCCTATATATCCCCAAAATATTCCTTCTATCATTGTATAATCCCCTGCACAACGCCGTGTAATCCCCCAAATCCCTATATGTGGTACAAGCTTCTTCCATGCTTCGATGACACTGGCCAGGTGTTGCGGCGTTTTCCCAACATACTGCAAGTGGGCAGGAACATTGTACAGACCATGAGGTTATGGGTTACCTAGCCACACCCCTCTCTACACCCCTCTCTACACCCCCCTACAAGGGAGAAGTGTGGCTAATCAAAGGGAACATTACAAAGGGGGAAAAACGGGGGTGGATAGGAAACCCATAATGAGGATGAATTGAATTTCTAAGGAAGCGAACAAGTTTTGATTCTCCCTGACTGCTAATGGTGCCATTTGGTGGTGGCTGCTAACCGCCATTGCCGGCAGGCCGCGCTTATTATGTGGGTTGTTCTCAAAATTATGGGCCCCTTTTGGTCATAGAGTGTATTACGACACTTAATATGTAGGGATACTAAAATGCAACCCTAATTTTGGAAACGACCCATATCCCAAACCCTAAGCCGTCTATCGGAGACATGCTAGCTCCTGAGATGAAGCCTCTGCCATGGAGATGCTGTAGGATTTGAGGTGTGGGTTTTATATTGGGGTTATATTGGGATAATGGAGAATGAAACGGAAGCTACAATTTAGGGTTTAGTGGCCTTCTTGGTCCGCACAGGTCATTTTTCCAGAAAAGATTTTGGACAAGCCCAGCAACTGTCTTCATAGTTCACATGACAATCATGCTCAGTTCTCCGTTCGCAGCATGGAAGTTCTTCCAGTCTTGATGTCTGCCAATTCATTTCTACGGGCCCTGGAAGGGGGATTACAAGTTGCTTTCTTGATTTTGCTTTGCTCTTTTTTTGTTTACTCTTTCTCTTTCTCTCTCTCTCTCTTTCTTATCTCTCTCGCTCTCTCTCTATCTCTCTGTCACTCTGTTTTCACCATACTTGACAGCAAGGAAACCGAGGAAGATACCGACGAAGATACGGATACCGAGGAAGATGAAGCGGAACGTCTGATGGATCCTGGAGGTTTGTTTGTTCAGCAGGAGGGAGAAGGGGTAAAGTCTTCGCGTCTCGTAAATCTGCAGACATCGCGTGAGTTCAATGAGCATTCAACTCAAGTGTCGCCTTTTTCAGAAGCCTCTTCGGGCGAAATCACATCAACGCCTTGCAAGATCCAATGACAATTTCAAAGCCAGTTCAGTAAATGTGCGTCCAATTCCGGCCTGTCGGCAAGTGCCGGCCTGGCTGCTCCCCCCCGCCCACTCAGATACCGCGTCAAAACCAACCCCAGCCCTGCTGAGGCTCCTGATCGAAAGAAATGTATGCAAAAATCATGTTCTTGCCATCTGAAATGTTTTTTGGGTTTGGAAGGTTTAGTTCTCTTCAGTTTACTTGAAGATGACCCAAAAAGACGTCCCAATTGTGCTGATGATGCTCTTGAACGGGGCGCGCGCGCGTGCGCGCGCCCCCGGTATGCCAGCAGCGTCAGCACAATATTGGCTTAGTTGGGACCAGGACAAATCTAAGACCTGATGACAAAAACCACCACAAAGGGCTTTGAACATGGTTCTCCGTGCTGGCTGAGCATGCTAGGGCCCTCATGTATTTTTGTTGCAATTCAGAAGCAACATTTGAATGTATTTGAGAAGTGAAAAGTGGTGCCAAATACTAACATAGGAGGCGGAAAAGGGATGGGCATATGGGCAAAACACTTCAAAAACCTATGCAGCATTCACAATTTCGAAGGTTCGGCTTGGGTCTTGCACGCAAAGCCTTTCGTATGCTTGTTATGCAGTGCAGGTGCTACCAACACTGTTTACAGCCAAAAATACTGCCGACAGCATGCGTTTCGTGCTTTTTGCTGGAGTTTAGAGCAGCCCCCGAAGGCCAGCATTTGATGCCGCGCATACGGGCGTCCAGCACCTCTCCAAGAAGCTTAGGCTTAGGCATGTTGCCCAAGAATGAGACACCAAGGCCCGATTGCGCTGATGATGCTGGCCCGAAAACAATTGCCCCAAACCCTCCGTGGGGGGTGGGGAGCCTCCAAAAAGGTCCAAAGATGCTTTCAGTTTTGACCCCCCAAAAATCCTAAAAGCATCCGCACTGGACCATGACGGCCAGACCGGACTTTAAGAGCCTCCGGCTCAGTCCGCCAACCCAGAGGCGGAGGAATCGGAATGCAACGATGGCGTTGATCCTAAACCCAAAACCTTGATTTTTCCAGTGGCTGGGTACGGGACCAATCGGCGCAACAAGCCAGGCTGCCGTGACTCCGCAGGACCTTGGGCGCCTGCTGTTTGGTGTGTACGATGTTGCTGCTAAAGTACTACAACACGTGTCCAGCCCTTGATTGGGCCAACAGTCTCGGGCCCCGGCAGATGGCGGTTTTTTAGGCACGTTGGAAACCGTTCTTGGGCACGCGGAGCCGTTCGCGCTCTGCGCCTCTTCATGAAAAGATGCACGCGCCAGGATGCACCCTGCTTCTAAGCTTTCACCCCACCCCCCGGGCCCAAGTTTTGTTGCATTTCAATCTCAAATGAACCACAAATTGAAGTCGATGTTTGATACTTGCAGTGTGGTGACGTGTTGGCTGGCTGGGTCTTGAGAGTGCGGTTACGGTACCTTGAGCCCTAAAACCCCAAACCCTAACACTACCCTGAACCCGAAAACCCCTAAACCCTAACAGCTAAACCCTAGCCCTGAACCGCATTGGGTGGGGAGTGGGGAGTGGCGGTGAGGTTGCGAGGGGAAGGTGGTGGTGGCGGTGGCAGCTTGAACTTGGGGTTTGAAGTTTAGGGTCAAGCGTGTAGGGCTTAGGGTTCAGGTTGTAGGTTTTAGGTCTGGGTGGTATCTTGAACCCTAGGCCTTACGTTTTGTTTTTCCCGTGTCCAAAAAACTTGTAGTACCAGCTATGCATAAAGTCTGGCTGCTTGTAATTCACGCTTTCATGGTGCGGGCTGTCTACGATCTCTGCAGCTTTACATGCGCGTACGGTCGGACGAACTACTTTCAGCAGTTGGAGATGTGTGTTTTTCTGTTGCTGACGCTGTTTGGGAGTCCGGATCATAAGGACCATAGCATATCTGGGCCTATCTTGGGTCCCCTCTTTATTACTGGAAATCTCTAGCTGCGCCGAATCCCAGGGGACTTCTCCATAAACAATGTTGATCCCAAAATAGTATCATCCTTATTATGGGCGCTCTCAACAGGGGGCGTTTAGTTTCTGGAAACCTCCAGATTTTGCTGTTATTGACAACGGAGATGTCATTATGGCTCCATCTCAGGGCATGTGTCCTGTCATCTCGCAACGGACGTGCTCAGATTTCTGAAATTCGTGGCTGTGTACCATGTTGGTAAGCATGGCCTTCAGCTTAGCTGAGCACGATTTCTGAAGAGCCAACAGACATCCATTAAGAACACGAGCTGCTAGTACAAAAGTAGCATTCGATATCGAAGTTCTGGTCGGCCTGCTCGGCACTCGAAAATCTCAGGCGTGTCGTACGTCCAGTGCTGTGCACCGCACCAACAAGCAGCAGATTCCACCGTCATTTTCAAGGGCTCGGTACATTGTCATGGGCACATAGGGCCTGAGACCAGGAATGCAGAGGCATGCTCACATTGTGATGAGCTCTGTGATTCCTTCATCGGTTCGGTGCACTTGTGCTTGCAAGGCTGCCTGTTGGCATGTTGCCGGTGTGCCAATAAATCTTTTCTTGAAACTTATCATCTCAGGGGAATCCCCAAGAATCTTCACTTCCAATTAAAGATTATTTGACTTGTTGCTTTTGCCGGTGGAAGCCTGGCTCACCCTGACTTGCCGCGTGTACAGGAAATCCTTCTGCTGCTTGAGCTGCCCAATGAGGTCATGTGCAAGCGTGAGGTAGCTTGGCTCTGAAAAGCTCAGCTGCCAAACTTGCCCAAGCATTGGCCAAGCCACGGACGCGCCGGCATGCCGGTAGCGCATGTGGCGGAAGTGGCGCAAGAGCAGTACAAAGGACGGAGAACGTGGCATTGACGGTGGGGTAGGACTTTCTGACCAGCACAGCTAAGTGAAAAAAACCGATGGTCGCGATGAATCCGATGAATCCAGCCAGTCTGAGACTGGATCAAGAAGCTTTGCTTGGCATAGTTTCTCGAACACTTGATGAGGACGGCACCATCACCGTGTCTGAGGGCAAGACTCTGGAGCACGAGCTGGAGGACTTGGGGTTAAGGGCGTGCGGTTTTTACATGCTCATGGCGGATCAGTGTTCAGTTTTAGTTTTGGAGAATGGCTGCAGGTGGTGGAGGGTATGAAGTTTGACCGTGGCTACATCTCCCCTTACTTCGTGACAGACGCGAAGGCAGGTGATGTTGCCATCCGAACCGCAGGAGCCTGGAGTGCAGGGCGAGGAATTGTGAAAGTCTAGGGCCTAGGGTGGTGTGAGTGAGGCGGTTGATCCCTTGCCAAGCTCAGGATGATTTATGAGGGACAGTCCTTACGCAATTATCTAGGATGACTGGTGTTGTGAGCGTTCAGGACTTTCAACTTGCATGGTTGGTTTGAGGCAGGGATATGATTCTTCCATTTTTTCATAAAGGTTTTGAAGTACAAAGGCTTCGAGCCCTCTGAAGCTTGTGCAGCAATGACCCATGGAAACTAAACCTGAAGTAACTTGAGTCGTGCTGTGCATGTATCGCAGGAATGTGCACTGGGCTTGATTAATCATCGAAAGCCACAGCTTTTATGAAAGGTTCCAACAACATGTATCCCCTATATACCCACAAATACGTCCATAGTCCTTACCCTGTTATACCTCCAAATACTTCGTTCAGTACTTTCTCTAGGAATGCTTCATGTGAGGGACCCCCATATTGCTAGATGGTGTGAAGAAGGTTTCCTTTTGTCACCCACCTCGGGCACCAACGTCCCGCAGAAAACAATTTAGTGCTTAGTTACACGGCCAGGCCGGATTTAGGGCCTGCGGCACGGGCCGGCCTGGCCGCCACCCCCCTTGCCCACCCAGCTCCAGTTATTTGGGATATTTTTTAGGTTTTGAAGACCCTGATCTCTCTAATTTAATTGAAAGCTCCCAAAAGTGGGGTCCCAATTATGTTGATGATATTCCTGAACGAGGCGCGCGCGCCTTGTACAGGAACATCAGCTGCACAATTGGGACCCCATTTTGGCTTGATTGGGAGCAGAAGGGGTCAAAAATCCAAGGAAAACCATCAAAGATGACTTTAGACATGGTTCTTTGTGGAGGCTGACCATGTTCTAGCCCACATTGCATTTCACTGATACTTGCAGCCACAAACACTGCCCA